TTGATGACAGTACAGAAGACTCTATTGTTTGTGAATCATGTTTGTCATGGTTCCAATTCAACTGTTTGGGCCTTAGAAAGGCACCCAAGACTTAGGAATGGTTTTGTCGCCAATGTCAGAGGCGTATTTAGGGGGGGCTGAGGGGGCTTGAGCACCCCCCCTCAGGGCTGGGCTCAGAAAAAATTACTGAAGTCCTGGACTCTTGCATCACTACCAAGCCTCTTAACAAAGTTATCTAGCCCCCTTATCATGATTTCAGCAGTTTCCAGTGCTTTAAGGAGCAATCAGAACTTCAGAAGTACCAGTAACATAGCAGTATGCTTGAAATGATCTTGGCCCCACCCGTAATTGACGAAAATGCAGGAAAAGGCCGTTTTACCGCCGTAAAAGTGAGTGTGGCCAAAATCGCGGCGCGCTTCGCGCCCTCAGCATCCCTCTTCTCCGGTAGGGTCTCAAAAGCGGACGGACGGACGGACCCGCCCCGCCCGAAAAGGACGGACGGACGGACTGATGCGGACCCGACAGGACCATAAATATCCATGTAAAGGACAATCATTCATGGATAGCCTGTCTTTAAAACACTTTTATACATGGAAAATAAATTTATGTACGTATTAACTATGGTGGGACCAATAGAAGAGGTCATGTTAGTGAAAATTTAACCGTTTTATCAATGCAAAATTGCTACTACAGGCTGCATGAAGCATCACAATACTGAACCATCACTTGAAATCTATTTGTTATTCTTAATAGGAGTTCAGTGACACCATTTTAATGATTTTTCTATATTATTTGGTGCAAGTCTATATCTTCAATCAATATATTCAAAGAGGAATTACCATTTACAGTGAATATAAGCAGGAATACAATGTAGACTATATAGGATGACTATTATTAAATAAAAACTGCAATTTTTTAGAGTAATAATTATGTTTTGTGTATTACCAACAGCAATCTTTAGTAAATTGGTTGCAAATCAACCTGATGAGACTGTTGACTGATACTTTTATGTAAGCCTTCATCACAGCTGTACAAATAATATCTATGCTTTAACACTATAAAATTAGGATTATATATGATGTAAGTGAAGTTGAATCTATTGTAATGCCTTGTCATGTCAGGAGCCACTAGATTTTAATTGTAAGTTTTTTTAATTTAAATGTCTACAATGTTAATAGCGGATTTGTATAGGTTATTAAGCCTCATAAATCAATTTTTTAATTTTGATTCTATTGAAAAA